GAGCGGGCCTGAAACACACCAAGCATGACCCGTGGGAGCTGGGAACTCGGGGGAGTGAATGGGAGGCGAGGCAAGAGCAGTAAGGTATTATTTACCTGCAGTGAGCCGGGTGTGGCACCTGGCGGCCAAGAACCCTGAGGACCATAGTGACTTTAAGGAGGCCGGACGTCCTGAGGGTGGGTGAAATGCGGGGTAACGGCTTTGGGGTCAGTGGAATGTAGACTTAAGTACAGATTTTTCGTGGGATGACATCTTTGCAGGCAAAGTGCTAATGTAAACATAGCAAGTTTGTTTCTTTATTTCTACCTAACCTGGCAATGTGGATCGTGATGCGTGCGTCGGTAGCGGCGTCTGGTCTTGCAATACAAGGGCAGAATCCATGTTTTGTGCGTGAGCGCCAGAACATCTTGCGGAATCGTATTTCCAGGCGGCCTTGGGGAAGATGCGTGAGCTTGGCGGGTCCCAGCGACCTCTCTATAGAATGGCAAACATAGCATCTCAGAACCCATGGCCTCGGCCCCTAAGAACAGACAACAACACAGCACCTGCGTTTCCTGAGGGCTGAGGTGCTTGAGCGCGGCTTCATGAACGGCATCGTATGCGACTGAGTCGTGACGCCACCCCATCTGGCGAACACGAGATCAACATCTTGTAGCGTGCGGGGTCGTGCTTGCAGGGGAGATCACGCTACATAGTAAGATTTAAAATCAGTTTAACTTCAGATTACCGTGATTCCGCCAACCGTCTGTTGGTATTTTACTGCTGCGTATCACCTTAAACTTCTATGAACCCCACCAGCAACTCTTCTCAAAGGCATACAATGCCGTCCGCTGGAGAGGGGTGTGCTGGCCTGCTTTCGGCAGTGCGGAGCAGGCGCTTGAGGGCAGCCTCTGCCGCGAACCATCTGAAGAACTAACTGACAGACCTGGGCCTTGTTTCGGTCCAAAAAGCGCCCTGGCAGCAGCACATCCCGACCTCCATACCTGCTCTTATCCCTAATCTTTGCTGCGGTTTAACTTTACTTGCAAAATCCTGAGGCTCCTAAGCGGCGGTCTCTAGTCCCAGTGACTCCAGGTGGGATCTACAACCATCCTGCCTACAAAAATCATCTTTTGGCCTCAGTTCAAATTCACTCCTCGGTCCTTTGCCATTAAACAGCAAAATTAACCTCTAAGTCACTGTGTCTGAGGAGGGAGGGTGGTAGTGACAGGGAGCTTTCGAAGGATTCTTATTCACCTTGTTTTAGAAAGCGTGCCATGGGAGTCGCGATCCAGCACAAACACGAACAAAAAAGCAGCTCTGTCGCAGCTCATGTTAAAAAAACACCACGCTGTGGGACCAACTCAGGCAATGACAGAGCGTAGCGTCACAGAGAAAGAAAACAGAAGCTACTTTTTCCAAAGGTGCGGAACCACACTGGAGTAAACAGCCATTTTGATCACCCTCACATTTTGAGGCGGCTTTGCTGGTAATCCCGTAATTCCAGTTTAGCCACCGTCTCATATTGTGTCATTTATTCCCCACAACTGTGGGCTGACCACCTCGTGAGACCTGCTCTTCTGCTTGCAGTTTGGCACCCTCGGCTGCAGAGTGAGCGATACCCGGCACGTCCTCCCAAATCTGCGCCCGAAGCCCGGCTGGCGTGATGGTGTGGTGAACTGGGGAGGGGCGGGCACAGATGGTAGTCCTGCGGGGCACCGCAGCGATCACGGCGTCGCCTCTGAACTGAGAGCCAGCTGTGCCTCCTCGTCTCTCCCATCCCTCTCTGCCATGTGAGTGAAAGGCCGCTTCCATAGGCGGGAGAAGAGAGGCTCGCCAGACCCCAACCGTGCGGCACTGATCAGGTCGGCCGGCATGAAAATAAGCGTGTGCTGTCCACACCCCGCGAGGAGCCCTCATTATGGCAACCTGGGCGAGCGCCAGACAATGACCACACCGCGGCACTGCTAATCCAGGTTACAGCGGCGTGGAAGCGGGTCGAGTCCAGGCAGGTTTTATTCTGAACCCCTGGGAAGGAAGTGAGTCCCTCTGACCCGGCGACCACTCCGAGGCACCCATGGGAGGCTGTGCGCAGATCTGCAAAGCCTCTCAGACTCTCACCTGGATGTGTGGAGTGAAATACCAAAGCGTGGGCAGACACCCCGTGGGGCAGAGGGGCTGAGGGGGAATGATAGGCCAGGACGGAAGCGTCGTGTTATGCAATGTGACCCTCCAGCACACCCTCCCCTCTGCACACCCTCCCCTTCTCTGCGATTTCAAAGGGATTTGCATCAGGATTTCTTCTGTCTAGGTATCAACTTTTGTGGGAATCAAAATTTGTTTTCTGGCCTCCCTCTGTGTGGAGAGACCTTAGGGCCTTAGGGTTGGCGCCCGTATAAAACATCAGTGCCCGATCCTCAACAGGCCTTAGTTTGAAGTTAAACTTTTATACAGAGTTAAGACCCACAGCGTTACCTCAGTAGCCTTAATATTTTAGCGCTTTCGTGTCCACTCAGTACAAGGCTACTGAGGACTGGCTTCTATGCTGTGTAAGCTGAACACACACTGGCCAGAATCTCTAGAGTTGAGTCAACCCTTCGCCAGGATGGAGAAGATGGAAAGAGACTTAAGAACTTTGCAGCTCTCTGGCATTTGCCTCCAAACACTATAAACAAAAGAAATCTCTTTGTTCATATGTAGTATGTATTTATTCGGTAGGGAGGAAGGGGAGCTTCAGTGCGTGGAGGAAAAGTCTGGAGGAAAGAAATGAGGAAAACAATCGAAACATGGTTAAAATAGGTTGAAAGATGGCAGGTGGCCTGGGTGGCTCAATCGATTGGCGACCCACTCTTGATCTCAGGGTCATGAGTCAGGCCCCACATTGGGCTCATGCAAGGACAAGGGCCTACTCAAAAAAAAAAAAGAAAAAAAAAAAGGGGGGCCCGGGTCATCTCTCAGAATAGGCATCGACTTGTGCCAACCTTTGGGAACATGAGTCTCCAAACACCTCCTGCTTGCTGCCAAGTGAGTAAGAGGCCGGATGGGACCCAGGCGACCCAGTTCACCGCCCCCAGCACTGGCCCAGGCGCCGCAGCCCATCAGACACTGGTTCTAATTTCTTAGGACAGAAGGTCCTACCTCATGAAACCATTTCCTTGGCCCAGGGGAAACCGGGAGGCCTACAGGGACCCGTGGGAGAGAAGCAGACAGCACAAACCCCTGCGTGGGCCAGGACAGAGCTGCTTCAGGAAATGACAAGGACACCTGAGGGTGAGCCGGAGGTCCCAGAGGCGGGGTGACTTTGGCACATTCCAGGAGGCAGGGGGGGCTGAGCGGCCGGGGCCAACCAGGAAGAAGGAGGCCCAGCGGGAGAAACCTCCTCAGTGTGGAGGGACATTTTGGGGAGGAACCCACAAAGGGCCTGAGATTCCAGCTGACAGTGAGGCACACTCTGGACCACTCAATCCTTAAAACAAACCTTATATGCTCACCTGGCTGTGCCAGACTTTCTAGCATTTTCTAACGTGTTTCAGCACAAAAACAGCAAAAGCGACTCATGGCTGTCTGTGACCGATTCAGATGGGGGCAGCAGGAGGAGGAGGGGGCGCGGGCGGAGAAGGCACGAGCGTGATGGAACGGTGTGGCGCTCCGTGTGCTGCTGTTAAGCAGGAAACTCAGGAGGAGCAAAGTGGCCACTGGATCGATCGTCGGTGGCAAAAGCAAGAATGGTTCCAGGGGAGTGAGGGGGTACAGGGGCAGGAGTGGGCAGACTTTTCATTTTATCTATGATAGATAATTTTCTTTTACAAAATTAAAATTTGTGAGCCTGGGTGAAGCTCAGTCGGTTGTCCGACCCTAGGTTTGGCTCGGGTGGTGATCTCATGGGTTGTGGGTCAAGCCCCTCGGGCTTGGCGCGGCAGCGTGGAGCCTGCTTGGATTCTCTCTCCCTCTCTGCCCCTCCTCCTCTCTCCTCCCTCTCTGCCCTTCCCCCATTGCTGTGTCTGTCTCTCACCAAACTAAACTTAGCACGTATTAAAAGAATTAAAATCCAGGAATGAATATGTCTGT